AATCACACTCAAGGTGATTTGATGCTATTGGATTATAAGAATTCAATGATTGTTTACTATTGTGTAGCTAACTAGGGTAAATGCATATCGTCCTTTCAGGCACTTTTGTAACTTAGTGACCAGAAGAAGCTGGGGGACCAATATTAATTAGTGTCTATTATGCTCCAGGCATTGTCCAATTACACATTAGCTCAAAAAAGTAGTCATTATTATACTAATTTTAGAGATGGAAGAACCAAGGTCCTGAAAGGTCTAGTATCTTGTCCAAGGACTCAGTCAAAAGCTCTTTCCACTATACCAGAGTCTACATCTGTGAAAAGCAATACGTTACTTCCTCATCACCAACTGGATTAGTTTTAAAATAAGATCGTGTGAACTACTTAGTGCCTCAAATCATTTTCATTATTAAAGAACCTTTTAAACTAAAGATTCTAGCCTACGGGCCATGTAAATTAACATTTAGTAATATATTTTACTGGAAAACGGGAGAGCATATTTCTTGAGTGCTGCCAACAATCCATCGCCACCTGATTTCACCCAGTCCCATCATACCTACTTGCTTTATTCTTTTCTCAAATGTGCACCCAGATTTCAAGGTAAGAGGTTCAAGTTCAAGTTCAATTTAACCACAACAGCCCCATTGCCATTCTGCCCCACTACTCTCTATCTTATCTATCTTAGAGCCTCAAAGAGTTAATGATTCATTCACGATTCAACATTTATTGAGGTTTCAGGCACTACACTGAGTGCTGGGTACAAAAGACCGCCTGACTTTGTTTTTGAGAAGTCTGTTCTCATCACTCTGGGGCGTTCTAAACGGATACTCTCTCCTCCCTTTCCCACCCTTTCTCCCCGTTCGGTCCTGGGAGGGGCTCTTAAATAGTCCCTGGAGGTGGTTAATCTTTCAGTGAACTGGGAGGAGGGTGAGCCCGCGCAGAATGCCCAGACCCAAAGATCAAAGGCGTGTTCCTCTCAGACGACTGGAGGAAACCCGGCGGACTCTGAAGAATGCTGTTGGCAACCAGCGAGTTTCCAATGGCAGAGCCAGCATTTGGAGCGAAGGATGCAAAGCTAAGAAAGGATGCTGGCAGGACAGCTGTGCTCCGCTCGCACCTGGGTTCCCCGCGGTGTGCGGATGTAACCCAGAACCTGCCCTGCGCCTCATCCCTGAGCTAGCGGATCTGCTGCGAGACATCAGCCCGCTGGCCCGGAGATTGCACCCGGAAAGGGACGGAAAGGAGGCTGTTCGGGCTGGGACTCAGAACTCTGTCCCCGTCTCGCCTACTTCCAAAAACTCTTCTCCCAGGCTGGGAAGCTTCAGAGGCTGCTTCGCTCCTCCGCCTTTGCGCTCAACTTCCCGCTGGCCGCGAGCTCCCCAAGCACTCCTGCTCCCTTGCCCCCAGCCCTGGCTTCCCTGCAACCCGAACTCCAGGCCGACTTCCCGACGTATTCAGTGCCGGACCAGAGCAAAGTCAGCCACTCGCACTGGAGTGATGGGGAGATTTTTTCTGGCCTGAGAATGGACAAAGGGACTCTCCTGCAGGGGACGTGACTCCAGGGCGCCCAGATTTCTCTCTCCCTTAGAGGTCGCAACGCAGCCAACAGAAGTCTGGCTTTAATCCACTCAGGACTTAAAAACATCATCTAACGACTGAAATCTGTCTGAGAACACAAGATGAGCGCATCCACGTCCACACACCCGAGTGGAACAAATCTTTTATTTTCTGAAGACAAGTGATTTGAAGTCCAGACTGAATGGCATTTAAGAATTAAGAATCCACTGCATGCCATCCTGGAGTGAATAGAAAATTAAACTAAATTGAAGTCCGGAATATGCAGCTTCTTTAAGAAAAAATTTCCCTCTGAAATATTCTTTCCCACTGCATTAAGTAGTGTTCCTCATGAGAAATCTGAAAACATTGATTGTTAAAATGTGGTCCTGGGACCAGCAGCATTGGCATCACCTGGGGCCCCACTTCAGTCTCCTGGACTCAGAATCTCTGGAGGGTGGAGGTGTCTAGGTGATTCTGAAGAACCACTGGCTTAAAAGTCTCCTTGGTCAGTGTTTTCCACTAGTCAGTAAACATATAGAGGCAGCAGAGCTGGAGCTCTGTTTATCACTTTCTTTTTAGAATGAAGTCTCTGTTTGACAGTGGGAAAGCCTGCTAGAAGGATCCTGAGTTGCTTGTAAAGTCATACAAGCAATGAGAGAGAGAGAGAGAGAGAGAGAGAGAGAGAGAGAGAGAGAGAGGACTTCCCTGGCTACAGTCCAGATTGGATATCTGTCTGCTTCTGAGAACTTGCAGACTCACTTACTTGAAACACTTCATTCTCCGTTCAGGCGTCTGTAAGATGCTTTGGTTGTTCTCCTGGTTCTTTCTAAAAGCACCTTCTAAGATAGTTTTCATAACCTAGAGGTCATAGGCAGGATACTCCCCACCCTTAGCACCCCCACTCCCAACTTCCAAACTATACTGGCTTGAGGCCAGGGGAGTTCCCCATTCTTTCTGTAAAGCTACTCACCCCCTATTCAAATTAAGACACACCAACTACCTGGGCTGGATCTGGAGCAGGGTAGGCTGGGAGTTTTACCCTTCTGGGAAGACCAGAGGAGAGAGACCTATGGTGGGTGTGGGTGTGCTGATGATCTGGAATGGGAGAAGGGCCCACTGAGAAGAAGAGATGGTTAGACTGTGGGTGAATGTTGGAGGCATGTGTGGTGTGGCCACGTTGTCATGTTCCTGGGCTAGTGGCAGGCACCACCCAGTCATTCCCACCTTGATCCTCACTCCATTCAATGGGCAACCATGGGGACCTGAGTGTGCCCAGGCCCCTCCTTGGCTGAGGCTCCTGATGGGACTGGGCAGCCTCATCATCAGACACCAGTGCCAACCTACCTGCAGGTGCCAGGCCCTGACTTTGCTCTCTGGATTTCTAGGAAAAAGAAAGTTCTGGACAAATTTAGAGAACATTGGGGAGAGGTGCAAGGTGAGAGAGAGACAGAGAGAGAGAAAGAGTCAATAGATACCAAAAAGAGGTATTTTCATTCATGGAAAAAAAAAAAAGATCATTGACTGGATGCTATAAACATACACCCCTTGGAGCTTCCTGCCTGAGACACTTTCAGTTTGGATCTAGGCACAGATAGTTCACTACCCTACACTTAGTAAAAGTAACTGACATTTTCATGAAATCTTTCCTTTACCAAGGGATTTTACAGATATAATCTCATTTGAGCCCCACTTAGGCTCTGTAAGATGAAAGGAGAAGATCTGCATATAATGATTATTATCATTCTCATCACCTTTATCCCTGCTTGCAGAGATGGGAAAACTGAGGATCCAGGCTCTTTCAAGAAACAGCTAGCTGGATGCAGAACCAGGGTCAAATCTATGTGTTCCCTATTCATAGCCACATGCCCCCTGCCTAAAGCAAAGGCTTCAAATTATTGATAGGGAACTATAGACAGCCATGAAGACTTCCTAAAAATCCTTGTGTAGATTGGCATTGCAAGGGAATGAGGAATGAGCAAGAAAAAGTTATTTCTCTATGGACGGCCTGCCTGGAATCCACAGAATTTAGCGCATTTGTTTTGTAAAAACGTGAGTGGGAGATTGGAAAACTTGCGAAACGTGAAAGGCAAACAATTGAATCACACTGGGGACTCTTTGATTTGAACTCTGGATAGATTGAGGCATGGACTCTATCCCTCTGGTAGAAAGGACAGAACACATGAATTTGAGGAAGGGGACTCTGGCCAGAGCTTGACATTTGTTCTTGAAAGTCAAGTTGGGGTGGCAGTGGTGGGGTGATGGAAGGATATCCTGATATCTTGAGATGTGCTCCATGTGCAAATAGACAGGCGGATGAAGTCACGAAGTTCTCAGCCCTTGGAGAATGAGGAATTGCGCTTGGTAATGTGGTCGCCACCCCTTGGTAATGAGGTCACTATAACTGACAGAGAGCACACCTGGCAGAGCAGCTTCTCCAGTCGGGACCAGCCTAGCGGGATCCCTCCTCTATGGCCAGGCAGAGGGCTCCACCCGAGGAGCGAGAAGCGGCCTGTGGGGTTGGTGGAAGGGCGGAGAAACTCTCGCTCCAGGTACCAAACTAAGCCGAGAAAAAAGGGTAAAAAATCGAAAAGAAAGAGCAAATGAAGCGGAAGTTTCAAGGCTCTCTGCGAGGAATAACAGTATAAATAACCGAAGACGTCTTGTAAACACTGCGGTCATAACCCCGAACATTAAACAGCCCCGGTGGCATCTGGCGCATCGGCCGCCGCGGGCTGCTCTGGGGCAGTGAGAAAGCCGGGTCCCAGGCTCCTCTGCCTTGCTTCTCTGTTTATCTCAACTTAATCTTCCCCTAGGAGCTGTTCCGTAGCCTGGAAAATGTTTAAATTAAAACCCAGTCCGCCGGAAGTCGTGGTGGGAGCTAAACGTGCCGGCTAACCGCAACCAAAAGGCAGGCATGCAGGTTTGTTAGAATTAATTAATGGATTATTAATAAGAAAGGTAGATAATGTATGCTGCAGAACTCTGAAAATCCTGAAACACACCCTAAGGGTTATGGAATTTACATCTTCCATAGCTTCTATTATTTCTTCACTAGTTTGCAGCCATACCCACACCTGGAAGGTGACGAAAGGTGGAGTTTACTTTCTCGCCCGTGTCAGCAGTCATACTGTGGAATCCATGAAAGCTGGATTTCCTTTTTCTGGTGCGTTTTTACTCTTGAACTGTGTAACTGTGGATAACTTTAATACTGCCCATTCTTTGTTTACAGTTACATAATTTCTATTGTCCTTAAAAGTAACCGACATATTTCTAAGGTTTCAGTAAAAAACGTAATCTGCATCTTCATTATGAAACTCATATGCAATTTTCTTCTATCTCTAGAATTTAGATTGATGTTTAAAAGAATCATTTTCATTATCAAGCTTCCCCATAGTTTCCCACTTTTCTATTCCAAATATTTTAAAAAATCACACAAAATGTCAGAGCTTTTAGCAATATAAAGAAAGATTTATTTTCAAAAGTAGCAAAACTTGTTTGAAAAAAATATATATCTTTAAGTGAATTACTTTATAAATGTGACTGTCAAAGTCAGCTATCCTATGATCTACATTTTACAACATATTGTACAAAAGATACATTGATAGGCTCTTATCTATTTATACATTTATAATTACATATTGCACTTGGACCAGCAAGGCTTGCAGAGTCATTCACGGTAGAAGTTAATAAAGTTAAATAGATGGGAATCTTTGCAAGTACAATTGATCTCCTCTGGTTTGGAAACGAATCTCCTCGTCGTTGTAAAGTGTTCTCGCGGGGTGGGACAGAGAGAGGAGCATTGCGAGGGGGAAGCAGAGACAGAGAGCACGGAGGGCAGGGGTCGACTTCCCGGGGTCCGCTCCCCCCGGGAGCGCGCCTTTCCCAGACTCGCACCTCCAAGGTCAGGACGCGGTGGTTCCACATAAGCGGCTCGCGGTCACCACTTCTTTCAGGTCACTCTCGGGTTTCCCGGCCACCAAGAAGGGCCACGTCTGCGGGAAAGAAGAGGGTGGAGGAGGTAAGTAGCCGTGGCGGAGGGGGTGGGGTGGGCTCCGGGCCAGAGATGAAAGGAGTGGGGGCGGTGGGGGCAGGCAGTGCGCTGGAGAGAGCGATTATCTCTGCAATTTACTCCCGGTCCTAGCGCACCCCGCGGCTGCATAAAGCAAAAAACTGCCTTGGCGCCAAGTCACAGCTCGAGGTGGTGGTGGTGCTGATGGTGGTCTTTTAGAACGAGAGCCAAAAGGGGTCATACTGGGTTCCTTGTGAGACCCAATGCAGGAAGCCCTGGGCAAGCCGAGAGTGGGTGGTGCTGTGGCACTGCCTCGAAGCAGACGCTCTGGCAGCCTGAGCGGGGAAGCCCAGAAGGACCTTGTGCCTGCTGGGCACCGAGTTGGGGGCGAAGCTCCCTCCTGGCCTCTCTTCTGAGGCGGTGGTCGGGTTTCAGGGCCCTGTCGCTTTCATCGTCTTTCATCGCCATCTATTTCCCTAGCCCCGACTTTCGTTTCTTCCATAGCAAACACCGGCTTTGACTACAACTTCTAAATTAATCACCACCTCTTAAGGGAAAAAAGAAAAAAGCTAAAAAAACTACATTGACTTTTAATTTAAGATCGTCTTCGTGCTGGACTGAGAAAGCATGCTTTCTCTTCTTTTCTCCGGGCTGTTTTATAATAAAGTTCATTTAAGTTTCTTATTTAAAGATGAAGAGAGTAACAATTGTAAATATTCGAGGCAACATTTTCATTTTAGGTGAAGATATTAAAAAGCTATTTACTCATTTTTTTTTGTTTAAAAAACCCCAAACTTTCAGTTGGAGGGAAAACTATTTTTCATGGCAAAATGTGGTTTTGCACCTTCTTCTCCCTCAGTTCCAGAAACCAATTCGGTGAGAAGACAATTCAGATCTCTCTCACTACTGCTCCAGTGCTGGCTGATAAGACTTGCCTTTTAAGAGGAAAAATCTCTCATTCTTATCATATACAAACAGAGGTCCTAGTAAGTTGTTCTTAATGTTTTTCTTTAGATTCTAGACGTTTTAAAATAAAATCAAATAAAAAAATCAAAATGTATTTCTTAAACAGTAAAATGCATTTGAGAAAAAAGTAGACTGAATGATTATCAGTTTGGTTTTTTTTTTTGTATTAAAAAAGTTAGGCTCAATGGGCATTACTTTTTAAGATAAAAGGTAACTTTTCTTAAATCTTGAATGAGAGTGACCTGTTTTAATATTTATTAAACTCATACTAGTGAGGATTTACTGATTTTGCTGATAATTACTGGAACTTCTAGGATTTAAAAATACTAATCCACTTATAGGAGAAGCACAGAACGTTTAAGTGGTTGGGGGCTTACATTGACAATTTAGGGGGGCATAGATGTGTCCTTATCTAATGGTCCTAAATATGCTTGTGAAAGAAACGGAGGTGGGTGTTTTTATTTACAAGGAAAGGAAAATCAAAATCTACCCTCAGCTAAAAGAAGAAAAAAGGATTAATAAAATGCCTCCCCGGCGTGAGGTCTTGTCAGTGTTCTCAGTTCCGCAGCAGCCACTCTACCCCAGGGAGGATGGCGATGGAGTGGGCTCGGGGGATCCCTCCTCTGTGCCAGCTCAATACACTTGCAAACCTTTAATTGGGCTGCCACGTCAAACCCTTGCATAAATCACTCCCGCTCCGGGGGCTGATAGGGCAGAGAGCGAGGGCCATGTCTAGACCGCCCGCCTCTGGTCCCGGGAGGCTCTAGGCCCGCGGTGGCCGAGGTGTATAAGTCACCGTCACGCCCGCAATCCCACTCCCAGCCCCGCGCGCACTCGCGCCCACCGCTGGCGGGACTGCGGGCGCGCCTGGACTGCAGCTGCAGCCCCCAGGGCACTCACCAGGTTGACCGGGTGAATGTACCCGTTCTCGTATTTGTCGTTAGCCAGGATCTGCCTCAAGTGGGCGATGTAGCTGGACGCCAGCCTGAGCGTGTCCAGCTTGGAGAGCTTGGTGTCCGGGGGCACCCAGGGCAGGGTGGTCTTGAGTCTCGAGAAGGCCTTGCTCAGCACTCGCATGCGGGCCCGCTCTCGCGCGTTGGCGGCGTTGCGCTGGACCTGCTTCCCCTCCTGGCTGACCCCGCTCAGGGGGCTCTTCTTGGTGGGCGCCTTCCTCCTCTTGCCCAGGCCGCCGCGGCCCTTCTGGGGAGACCCATTCTCACAGTTGGAGCTCTCCTCGGTGCTCTCGTTGGAAGTCACAAATTCCTTGTTCGAATCCATTTTCAGCCCGTCACATTCCAACATCTCCACCTCTTGAAGGTCCTCCACATCGCTGAGGGAGCCGGTGGACATGTTTGGGGGAGTGGACGAGGGAGAGAGGGAGAGAGGGAGAGAGAGAAAAAAAGAGAGAGAGAGAGAGAGAGGCAGAGAGAGAGAGACCCTGAAAGCAAGGGGTCTCCCGAGTGTGGCACAGCCACCTCCTGTTGGGAGCTGGAGTTGGGGTCTGGTTGGGTTTCACAACCCTTTCCCCTTCGCAGAGTTGTGAGAAGGAACCTAGAGGACTTCTGCAGCAGAGGAACCGGCTCTCTGTTTCCCCACTCCCAGAGTCGTGGCCGTAGAGGAGTGTGAGCGAGCGCTGAGGAATTTGGTGGACACTAGGAATTTATCTGGGGAATAGAGGGGCGGATCTTTGGAGCCCAGGGGAGGGGCCTGCCAGGCCCCAGCAAAGCGCTTAGACCCCTTTCACAACCGGAGGAAAACTCATTGCACAGACCCTAATTTGCAACTTGTAATGTAAATCAACTCAACCGCATCATGTACTTACCAGCCACCTTCTCCCAACTGTGGCCGGCCGGGGAGAATCATGTCCTGTCCATCTCTAAAAGGCCTTTCCCTCTTAAGACATCACAGCTGGTTGTTACTGAGAACTTTAGAAAAACGACTAGATCCTTTGGTTCTTTCTGGGCCTTCCACCTACGAATCTCACAAGCACTCCATGCCCTCTCTCCTCCCAAGAAAACACGAGTTAAAATACAGGGAGTATCAGCTGCATCCTGCCAACACCTCATAAGACTCCAAGGCTTTACCAAGATCTCCTTCCACCTTCCCCGGGATAAATGAGGACAAGTGCTTCCTAGAATCTTTATGGTGATGGAAAAGTAAGTATAAAAAATTTCACCTACACCTGATCATTTTCAAGACATCAAAGGACTGCCTATGTGTACACAAACGTACTTGATTTGCACACTCAAACCCAACACACACAGCTTAGTGGGAGTGGGTAGAGAATGAGATAGGGCAGTATGAGTGTGTGGAAAATATTATGTTAGTTGATCATCTTTTTCTAATAAGTGGAAACTTTCTCCTCTTTTTTTTCTAGAAATGCATTTAATATTGCCTTGAGAGTCTTAGTTGCTCTCAGACATCACCTTGCCTGGCACTTTTTGTGATGCACCATCCCTTTCAATGCTGCTGTTTTTGTCCTCTTCCAGCCTCTTTGGTGCCAGTGTTCCTCACATGAAGCTGACACTACAAAACACAAAGCAAGATTATCCTTTTGAGAAAGGTTCTTTTCCATCTTTAACCCCGGCTCGAGCCATCTTTCCTAGAGAATAAGAAAGTGTCCTGGGAAGTAGGTAGAAAATCACAGGGAACCAGAACCTAGGGACTGGATGAAATTGATGCAATGAAACCAGGGAAACTGAAGGTGTAAATCTCTCTTACAATTTCTTTGCCAGGTTTTCTTCCCTTGCAGATAGGCATTGAAGTTGGGCTGGAGCAAAATGTGAGAGTGGTTTCTGAGTGGTTGTCTTAGGGTCTGAAGGCTTCTCCTACATCAAGATATCATATCTCTAATCCTAGGCTCAGCTGGGAATTCACTAACCTCTAACGTTTTGTTTTGCTAGCAGGGTCTTGTTTGCTTTCCCCCTATGCTGTAAACTAAACAGGTTGTCAGCAAATCAGTCTTTATTAATGAATTAGTGACCCCTCTTCCATAATATCTTCGCTGAGGATCCAAAATTTGTTAATCACCAGTGTAAAGATTTATGAGCTCTCTTATTTTCTGTTGTTTGTGCAGGTGGAGATTTAAATGACCATATCCACCCTAAGATTTATTGTGAGAATGATTGATGTTATAAACCAGGAAAGGACTCTTCCCACAGCAGGGATGACAGAAATATCAAGTTGAAGTTGCCTTTGTCTTCACGTACAAATGACCCAGTACTACAACACAGAAAGTATAATCATTTCATCTGAGGTTCAAGACAGCAGTAAGAGAACACCCAGCAGGCCTGTTAAAATTTTCTTTACTAATTCCCCAACTAGTTTCCTGTGATTTGCTCTCCCTTCTCTCAGTCTTGGTAAAACATGAAAGTTAAAGTTATTTTTAGAGTAAAGAGCTCTGTGAAAATGGGCATTGGCCAATACTTTGTGAAATGTGTGTGTGTGCGCGTAGCTACTAAGATATCTGCAAAATAACTACAAATAATTAATTTGGGCTCCGGAATGTGATAATTATTATAAAAATCCAAACTATGGCCTTACTACATACCAGGCTATTAAGCTGTGATTTTTCTTGTTGGAGCCATTTATTTTTTGTTCTTTTTGGCTCTGGTTCTCTGTTACACCTTAGTTAATGGACTGCTCAGCCTGTCTGGGGGGATAACAATCATAGTAATATGTACCACTGAAAAGATTTCTGTTGTCTGTATATTTTTCAATGTTGGAAACTTAAAAGTACCAATTTCTGGAAGCATGTAAAACTAGCCTCATGTCATAGGCTGGTTTTTATGCTTAGCAATTATTTTTCTTTATAGCCATATAAGAAATAATTAAGTCGCATGTCCATTTATCTTGCAGTGAGACGTTTAGGCTGAGAAAGGCTAGTGGTCTGATAATACATTTTGGAGTGTTTCTAAAATTCTGTGAAAGATGGCTTCCAGTTTGGGAGTAAGATTTGAAGAATGCTGTTGCTTATGTATCTTGATTTGAAGTCTTGGAGAAAGAATATTCATATGAAAAATACTTTTTTCTTTTAAAATTTTGTGTCTATCCCTGCTAATAAATACTTAGGGAAAAATGGGTGGGCAAATGACTTCTTGTTGGACTCTACTGAGCAAATCAGTTAAGCTGTAACTTAAGCTGTGCCAAATTCTCCCAAAATGTAAACTATATTCTGTGAGAAGAGAAGCACTTTGGAGAAGCTGTATTAACCCTTTTGGTACGTTGACCATTTCTGTTCCAAAGCATGAAACAGAAAACTAGTGATTTGAAAGTGTGAGATCATTTCTAAAAGTTCTTACCTGACTTTTAAGAAACAGTTATGCCCCAGAGGCATCTGGCCAATTTGCTGCTCACTTCTAACAATTTGTTTTGCAAGAAAGACTATCTTTGGAAGATTTTAGTGCTAAGGAAATTTTATCTCCAAAAGCTGTAAAATGAAGATTAGGCATGGAATGTACCCTTGAACTTAAATCCTGGTTTATCAACTGATACATTTACAGGAAGTTCAAATTTGATTCAGTTGCACTTGGATGGAATAATTTGCTTCCTTTTTTATGAGAAGGAAAACATCATAGGCTTCCTTTGAACTGACTTCACATGCCATTACATAATCTTTCTCAGGGGAAAAATATGCCTTTAAATTTAAATCTTAATCCTTTTCTCTTTCTACTCATCATTTGGTCAGGAGATATAGGCTGGCAAATCGGCAAAACTGCCCGTTCTCTTTTTTCTTCATTTCTAATTAGCACCTCCAGATGTTTTATTGATTTTGTTTGATGGTAACTACCACCACTTCAAACATTTGCCAACCTTCTATGCAAGTTAATGCCTTTTCTTTTTTTGACGGGGGTCTGTCTTGCTCTGTCGCCCAAGCTGGAGTGCATTGGCACGATCTAGGCTCGCTGCAACCTCCATCTCCCAGGTTCAAGAGATTCTTATGCCTCAGCCTCCTGAGTAGCTAGGATTACAGGTGCCTGCCACTACGCCTGTCTAATTTTTGTACTTTTAGTAGAGGTGGCGCTTCACCATATTGGCCAGGCTGATTTCATACTCCTGCCCTCAGGTAATCTACCCACCTCAGCCTCCCAAAGTGCTGGGATTACAGGCATGAGCCACCGTGCCCAGCCAGGTGCCTCTTTTTTGATTTTACATAATTATCTCCATACCCTTTGTTGGCTGCTGATTGATTGTCTATCTCCCACCTATATGCTTATCAAAATCTGACTTTGTTTCATTAAATTTTAACTTTATTTCATAAAGTGAGCATTACCTCTCTTCGCTCATTCTAAATTACAGTGGTGCTGGCCTGTTATATTTTGGCAGCCAAAGTGAATATAGCACTAGTGAGCTTGGTGGCTAGCTAAGAAGGTCAATAATAGTGATGCTGGGTGTTGCTGCTACCTTTACCTGGCACCAGCTGGGAGATGGTATAAATCCTGGATGGTATAAATCCATTCAGTAATCAGAAGGCTTCCATGTGTTCAGTATACCCTAACGCCCTCTTTCCACATTTAATTCAGTGAATTGTAGATAAGATGCCACAGTGCTAAGATTTAAAGCTGGCAAATAACAACAATAAAGTCTAGAGAAAGATTCTGCATGGTTCTTTGAATCCAAGAGTTAATCTTGCATTTCACATGTTCCATTATACAGCTTTGAAAGCAGCCAAGCCTATGTGCTTGAAAGTCAGAGTTTACCCTAAGGTGTAAGTGGGCCAGAGAAAACTCAGGCAGACAAAGAGAGTTAAAAATTTTGCAAAGCCAGTTTAATGTCCTCCTAAGTTTTCTAATACTAGAATAATTTTATTAGACCCTGTCAGTGTTAGGAAAGAGAGAGAAAAGGACTGAACGACTCTTGAGTCAGGTACCATGCAAGGACCTTTGCCTCCATTCTCTTGTTTCATGTATTTTCTCTCCTTTCTGTTGGCACTACTAAAGAAAGAGCTGCCACATGAAATGAATATTGTATTAGAAATGCATGCCAGAGGCTTTCCCCTGTAATAAAGTTTTAGAAAAACTGGCTTGAGTGATGACTATTCTGTATCTTAAAATAAAGCTTGAAAGCAAAACCTCCCAAGTTTTCCCAAAAAGAATAAATCTTCTAGGTTGTATGGGAGACCCCTTTAGTGCACTTACATGTTACATATAGTTTATTGATGGGCATAAAAAAAATATAGGCCAACTTGCTGTCAGCCTCCTTCCTGTATGGAGGCACTGGAATCAAAGGCTCCTTTGGGTGATTATCTCTTTGGGATTATTTCCTTGTGGCAGGTGCTTTCAGCTTTGAGGAACCAAGAGTTGCAGGAAAGTACTGAGTGTGAATCCTGACTTTAGGAAGATGAAACATTTCCAGGCGATGAAACATTTTAAAATAGAGATACAAAGTAATAGTTTGTCAGAACTGGATAGGGCTGAGGACCAAGGAGGCCGTAAATAATCACAAACTCTGTTCCAATGAGATGTCAGGTACAGTACTGCCCACCTAACCCTGTGTCCTGATTTGCCTCGTATTATTCCTTCCACTGAGTCACATTGCCATGAATGGTTTTTGCTGTTTGAATAATTATAGTAAATGTGAGAAAGTTTCTATTCTGTTATTCCCTATTTAGAATATGTAACCATTGATCCCTAAATTATACAAAACGAGATAGACTTGAGCTGTCCTGGGATATA